GTAACATCTAAAGTCACACCACCAGCAAAGGCCACGGAACAACAGAACTGGAGAAGCTCTTGGAGAGCATCTGGTCTAGCCTTCATTTTCCACATGAGGAAACTGAGGCCCAAAGAAAGGAGGAAGTTAACCAAAGCCACATGGTTCGCTTGTGGCAAAGCCATCCCTCAGACTCAGATCCCAGATTTGAGGTCTGGCGTCCCCTCAATTCCCCAACACCCACGTTGCACACCCTTCACCATCTAGCAGAGATCTCCCCAGGGCTGCCATGAGCTCCATGACACTCCAAGGAGCTGATGCAAAACATTTTGTTTTGCACCATGGCTGTGGTGACAGCTGAGTTAAACCGAATGCCACAGTCACAGTCATTATGCTCAGAAACTGAGCAAGAGTTCCATCTATTGGGGTTTCAGAATGAATCAGATTTCCAAACTCTCCTCTCTCCACCTCGGCGCATGTCTGTATATGGTAACCTTTCAAAAGTGAGTCTAATAATTAGTCATCTTGGCCTAGTTCGAGACAACAGTATGTTCTCCAATTTCTCTCTGTTTTCAACAAGAGAGCCATGCCAACGGTAATGTTCACCGTGGTTAAACATGCTTCTCAGCTGGTCCCTGCAGGCGGCCAAGACAGCTCTGGTCCCCGCAGTTGCCCAGTGCTTCCCCACAGCTCTCTAATCAGGCTGTACCCTCAGACCAGATCCACCCCCACCCTCAATATTGACACCAACTGTGTACCGGGCACTACATTAGATGCTTTGGACTCATCATTACATTTTATCCTCTTTGCAAGATAGATGGTTCTCTTGCTGTCCCATTTGAAGATGGGAAATTTGAGAACCTGAGGGTACTGGTCCTTGTCTACTGCCCATACCCGAGGTCCAGCCAGTCCCTCTCTTCCTCCCTGCTCCAACCACACTGTTCTGCCAAGGCTTTGAGCTCATTTCCACCACAGGGCCTTTGCACGTGAGATTCCTCTGTCTGAAACACTCTTCCCTCTGACTCTGCCTGGTTCACATCTTCTCACCCTCAGATCTCAATTCAAGCATAATTTCCTAAGGGAAGAATCCTTCACATCCTCAGGTTCCTAGAGCTCTTTTCATTCACAGAGCACCCTGTGAATCCCTCCTCCTTCAAGGCAGCTCCTGTAAATTGTTATTTTAAATTTTTTGTAAAGATGGGGTCTTGCTATATTGCCCAGGCTGGTCTTGAACTCCTGGCCTCAAGCAATAAGGGATTATTTGCTGCTCTCTGGCTCCCCCACACAAGCACGAATTCTAGGAGGGCAGGGATGGTGTCTGTGTTACCCACCACCATATCTCCACACACAGAAAGGACACATAGTAAGGGTTTAGTTCATCATATATTTATGGATGATGGATGGATGGGTGGTCAGACGGAGAGTGGGTAGATGCAAAATGCTTAACGAAGAATTTGTCACCCATCCAAGTAAGAGGTGGGCCCAAATGCAAGCCCAGGCCTCCGACCGGCAATCCCTCTCGGTGTGTGTGATAATCCTCTGCACACACACACATATCACCCCCAAACTCTGACCCTGGCAGATGGTGCCCACCTCCCTGGAGCGGTGTTCTCAAAACTCCCCTGACCAGCACCCCACTGTCCAAACCCCACAGCTCCCGCCACACACCTGGAGCTTCGGGGATGCTGGTTCCGTGGGTCCAGGAAGGCCCCAAACTCTACACTGTTAACAAGCGCTCAGGTAATTTAGAAGGGAGTGTGTGCCAGAGCTCGTTTGAGAATCTCTGGACTAAGGTGAGTCCAGGCAAACCGCAATCCCCAGGGAGAGGCACCCAGCGCCACCCCAGGCCGCCCACGCGGAAAGTGGCCGGGCGCCGCAAGCTGGGGCCGTGCTGCCCTCTGGTGGTGCATAGCGGCACTGCAGCCTCTGGGCACCCCAAGGGCCGTGGTGTCCTGGTGGCCCGCGTCAGCCTGGGTCAGTGCACCTGCATTCCAGTCCCTGACCTTCCAGAGACCTCCCCAAGACTTTTTTTTTTTTCTTCATAAATGGAACATAATCAAGGTTTCCCAAATTTCAGTTCTTTGGGTACCACCTTCATCATCTTGCCCATCTCATGTATACATACTATTCTGTACTTAATTTTTCTCTAAATTGCTGGGTGTGGTGGTGGCTGGCGCCTGTAGTCCCAGCTACTCAGAAAGCTGAGGCAGGAGGATGGATCGCTTGAGCCCTGGAGTTTGAGGCTGCAGAGAGCTATGATCACCCACTGCACTTCAACTTGGGCAACACAGCAAGACCCTGTCTCAAAAAAAAAATTAATAAACATGTATGTATTATAATTCATGTTAAGAGAGAAACGAATACCCATAGTAAACAGGGGTGGATTTCACTTGCCATAAATGGTGGGCTAGGGGAGAGGAGGGGGCTTGGTGGGGAGGGGATGAAAATAAAACAAGGATTACCAAGATTTTCGTAAATAAAAAGACTGCCATTTTACAAACAAAAACAAACAAGGGTTTTCCTAAGTGATGAAACTATAAAGAACAGCAAAGAAATTAACATTATAAAAATCAGGATATCCGGGCACGGTGGCTCAGCATTTTGGGAGGCCGAGGCAGGCAGATCACTTGAAATCAGAAGATCGAGACCAGCCTGACCAACACAGTGAAACCCTGTCTCTACTAAAAATACAAAAATTAGCCCAGCATAGTGGTGCATGCCTGTAGTCCCAGCTACTCAGGAGGCTGAAGCAGAAGAATCGCTTGAACCCAGGAGGCGGAGGTTGTAGTGAGCTGAGATTGTGCCACTGCACTCCAGCCTGGGTGACAGAGCGAGACTCCATCTCA